AAAAATAAAAATTCTGATCTAAAATATAATCCATCTTCTACTAATTGTATTGAAATGATCTTTAGCTCATTAGAACTGTCTCAATGAGACAAGTTGAATGACAGTAAGATCATGTCTCTAGCATTGATAGATACCTTTCTAATACTAATTTTCTAAAATTGCTTAGCATGATTTATCTCATGATATACCGATGCTAGAGATATGATCTTACTGTCATTCAACTCGTCTCATTGAGAAGGTTCTAATGAGCTAAAGATCGTTCTAATATAATCAGTAAAAGATGGGTTATATCTTAGATCGGGATTTTTATTTTTTGACGTTTAAAAATTTAAAAATGCGAAAATTAAGATAACTCGTTATGTAGTGATCATAAAAAAAATAAAAAAAGGCTCATTAGATTCGTCTCATTAAGACCTATCGAATGATGCAAAGATCATTTCTCTAGGATCAATAAATACGATTATATCCCTAGTTTTATAAAAAATGTTTAGCATTAATTATCTCATAATATATTGAAGTTAGAGAGATGATTTTACCACTATTCAACGCGTCTCGATGAGATGATTCTAATAAGCTATTGATCGTCTTTATATGATCGCTGGTTGCTGAGTTATTTCGATTTTCGCATTTTTTTTTAAATAAAATAGAATAGAACTGAACCGAATGGTTCTGGTTCCAAAACTGAACAGGATCCCGAGCAATACTGAAATAGGTAACAAGAAATAACGCGTAGAATAGGCTAAAATAATCATGAAAATCTTTCCTTTTTTAGATAAATTTTGATAACGTTGGTAAGAAATATATTACTTTATTTAGTAACTGACTGACATTATCATAATTCCAGCCCTGAAAAAATGCGTAGAGCTAATAGTAAAATTTTGCCAATTTCCTATGACCTATTTATATATTGTTCGGGGTCCTAACTGAACCGAGAACTGAATCGAATTTTTGGTTCAAACTGGAACCGTTCGAAGCTTTAGCTATAATGAATTAACCAATCAAATCTCTTAAAATCTTTACTATAGCCTTATAGCAAAGTTGAGGTCTGAAACCTAGGGTTCGTTATAACAAGAGTTGACTGTAATATTAATCAATAACTTTTTTAACAAAATATAATATAAGTGATCAATCTATAACTTGTAAAACTTGTATAAATAATTACATTTAATAAATCACTAATAGGTTTAACAATCATAATTGTTTTAATATAACTAATTTTTTTATTAGATGCTTGAGCCTATTTATCTTTAAAATACCATTCCTTCCAAAAATAAATCACAATCATAATAAATTATTATTATTTTTATAGAATTATATTATTTTACTAATATATTCTTTCCAAATTTTATTTATATCTGTAATAAATATACCATTTAATTTTACAAGTTTTATAATTACAGTTTTCCAAAAATTTAAAGGACAGAATATTCTTTCTGAATTATTTGTAACTCCCCAATTAGGATTTATCACAGAATATTTTTCATAAGCCATTTTTGGATTATAAGAATAATATACATTCTATCTGTTTATTTGATGCTAATCATTATTTAATAGCTCTTTGAAATTTGTACTTCAAGCTATACTGTTTGTATTGCATTAATTTTTGCAAAATCTTTATCAGTTAAGATAATACAAAATTTCTTCAAATTTTGTTCTTTTAAAATTTGCATTCAATTAGTAAGTATGCCTCTTATATTTTTGCATTTTCTAGCTGAAATTAAAAGATATCTAAGAGAAAATCCAATACCATCAAATACTTCTATAATAGTATATAATTCTTATTCCATATTATTTGTTTTATAAGTTGCATCACTAGAAATAATATCATTATATAAAATAATGTTGAAAGGCTGAATATTAGAGTTCTATTAGTCTGAATACAATATATTTAATGAATAAAAAAAGGGAAAATTTTCATAAATTTAAAATTATAAATAAAATCTAAACCAAATGTAAATAAATTAATGTTTTATTCAGACCATTTAAAGATAAATATAAGTCTTCTATATATATTGTATATAGTATATATAAAATTTAATGATATTATTTAATATATAATATATCTTTTATATATAATGAAAAGTCTGAACTATTTCTAAAAAAAAAAATAAATTGGTTTAGTTTAATAAAAAAAATAATGAAAAAAACAAGCTTTTATACTAATTCTATATGTCTATACATTTTAGAATAAATTATTTCTAAAAAAAAAAGAAATAAAAAATATATATTAGTTTTTTTTAAATAAAAAAAATAAAACCAAAAAAAGTTTAATTACTAAATGAAAAATATTTTTACCCCATTTTTGTTAAATATTTAAAAACATTTACAAAAAATGTTTTTTTTATGAAATTATTAATAAAAAATAGTTTCACAATATTTTTATTAAAACAATTAAAAAAATATTTTCACAATATTTTCTGTTAAAACAATTAAAAAACATTATGAAAACCATTTTTTTATCAAATTGCTTAATAAAAATATTTTTACAATATTTTTTGTTAAAATAATTAAAAATATTGCAAGACATTTTTTTATTTATTAAATTTGCAACATTTTTATAAAATAATAAAAAAATGTTTTTTTAATAAACAAATAGTTTTACAACTTTTTGCAAAAATATTCTTTATCTTTATTAAATTTTTTTATTAGATTCGGTAATTAGTTTAGTAAATTTACTGAAACTGATAGTAAAATTTACCAAAACTGATTGGTAAATTTACTGAAACTAATTTTATCAAAAGTTTTAGTTTAATAAATTAATTTGGTAAATTACAAAACTGAAAGTGAAACTGCAGTTACTAAAACTAATCAATAATTTACTAAATAATTCAGTTTTAGTAAATTGCAAAACTGAAACTGATCTAATACTAGTAAAACTGATCAGTTTAATTCAGTATTTATTAATACCAATCAGAATTCTATATATAATATTATATTAAAAAATTGTAAAATTTTATTTTTTAAGATTTTTTTTTAAATTAAAAAATTTAAATTTTAATATATATAATAAAGGTAAATTTTATCTGAAATGATTTTTATTTCAATAAATTTTACTTCTATTAAATATTAAAATCATTCTTTTAATATAATATTTTTTTTTATTTGCAATTGTCTTTTTAATTTATATGATATTTAAAAAATAGATATTGACTATTTTAGCTATATATAAAATTATTTTAGCCAATAAAATTACTTTTATTTAGGTTAATTATATAAAAATTATTAATTTTTAAGTACTTATAAATTTTTATATACATATTTTTTGAAAATTTAATTATTAATAATACTTGTTTTTTTATTAAATGAGCTGTATCTATATAGCTTTATAACTGCCCAACTGTGCATATGTGAGGTTCCAAAAAATGGGATAATAAGATAATATAAATAGCTTCCTATGTATTTATACATTTGTAAAATCTTGCTTGTTTTTTAATAAATGTGCAGTAGAATTATATAAAAAAAAAATAATACTTGTTTTAAAGAATAAAGTTGCTGGTTTAAAATTATATTTTATTAAAAGTTTTTTAAGTGGATTTGAATTTATTATTAAATATAAATTTTTGGCATTATTCTTACTACTATTTTTTAAATTTAATAGAAGTAACAAATTTCTCTTTTAAATCAGATTTAGAAGCAACTGATGGGAAATTAGTTAGCTAATTCAACTGTTTTTATAATTTAATATTAAAGTAAAGTGAGTATTTAAATAAATGTATTATATTTTCCCTTTTCTTAACAGTTTTTTTTTAGTATATAAATCTATTGCTAGTATTTATTTTACAGTAATTAAAGCTTGAAATAACTTAATAATTTTATATATTAAAACTTTATTGTAGTTTTATTAACCTAAAATTTTCAAAAAAATTTTCAAAAACATTATTAACTATATCGCGAATTTTATTGTTTTATTTGGCTATGTAGAATTAAAAATAATGATGTAAATTATATGATATAAATTGTCAATAAACAAATTATTGTTATTTAGGTCAGATTTCAAGAGAATAAAATCTTAATTAAAGTTAAATTTAATATTAAAAAAAAACGATATCTAAAATTTTTTCTTGCACCTAATTACACGTGATATCCTTGTAGGCGATAAGTTCCGTTTGTTGAATTATAAACATTTAAATGTAATGTAACACCGATCTGTAGATCAAAATAAACGGCTGTCCCGTTTTATTGGCGTTGAACAGAATCATAACCTTTTTTTAGCTTGTACATGTGTTTATATTTGAAAAATAAATATGTATTTAATTTCGTATTTTTGTGAAAACAGGCAAAGTTGGGTTTTATAAACAATTTTATTGGTTCATAATGATTTTAAAAAATTTCTTTTTTTCTTATAATAAATGTACAAATATTATTATATATTTAAACTTACTGCATGAAGCTCACCGTTAAACGTTTCAAAATACGACATGCAGGGAAACATATGCAAGGAAATTTACTTAATAACTACTAGCGTATATTGAAAATTTTTCTCTTAAAAAGAATGATTATTTCGAAAACTTTAATTTCCTATCCTTAATATTTTTTTTTTTTTTTTTCCTATTATTATTTTACTTTCTTTTAAGAACAATGAAATTTTTAATTAATAATCAAATAAAAGAGGTACTTTGGTTTTTTTGGTTTTTTTTTTTTGAATTTATTTATTTTAATTTTATTTATAATTTCGTCAATTGCTCAATTACAGAAGGAAAAAGTTCCCTGTTCACCAACAGATTCGCCGCCAAATTCACCATCAAAATCTCAACCTACATTCGTTTGGACTGGAGACCTCTTGGATGTAGCCACCACATCTCAAAAATCCAAAAAATCCCTTGATGATTCTACCTCGTTTTATAAATGCCTCTTACGAAAATCTTTCAACCCTTCGAAATTTAAATTAATCAAAGCTCAATTATTAAATGATCATAAGAAAATAGTAGAATATGCCACTCAATTACTTGAAAATTATCCAAACAGTTACGCGATTAGATACATTCGAGCTGATGCTTATCGAACTTTAATGGAATATAAAAAAGCAAAAATTGACCTTGATTTAGCTGTTTCCCAAAAACCGAAAAAACAGGAAGCAATTTGTTTTAGAGGTGTTATGCAATGCTTTCTTCGAAATTTTGATGAAGCATTAAATGATCTTAATAAAGCAATTCACATGGAAAAGAATGATGGTTATGCTTATAAATGGAGAGCGTATTGTTATTATAAATTACATCGGTATGATCAAGCTCTTGAAGATATTAATAAAACCATTGATAATGGTGTAGCAGCGGATGTCTTTGCTTACATTATTCGTGCTGATATTAATCGTGAATTGAAAAATTATGATGAAGGAAAAGCTGATATCAAAAAAGCCCTAAAATTTAAATTGAATAAAGTCGATAAAGCTAATATAATTTGTAATCATGGTATCATAAATATGAGAGCCAAGTGCTATAATGAAGCTATCGAAGATTTTACGCAGGTAAATTATAAATCAACTAATTATTAATTATACGTAATATTATATATGTTTATTTACCGTTTTTATTTTTTTTTTTAATAGGCATTAAAATTGCAACCCAATAACGCAATTGTTCTTCAAAATCGAAGTAGTGTTTATCGCACGTTAAAAAAATTAGATGAATCTCTGGAAGATTTAGAAAAAGCATGCCTCATTGACCCAAATAGCACACATCAATATGGGGTACGTGGAGCTTTGTATATGGAAATGAAAAAATGGAACGACGCAATGAAAAATCTCAATTTAGCCATAAAACATCATCCTGACAATGTTTGTTCTTATTCTAATCGTGGAGAATTATTGGTCAAGTTAAGAAAATATGATGAAGCTTACCTTGACATTAAAAAGGCATTAGAAATTGATCCTCAACACATGGTTTCTCTTCAACAAATGACAGATGTTTGTCGAAGAATAGGAAATTATTCGGAAGCATTATCAATGGCAAATAAATCTTTAACTATTTATCCTAATAATATAAACACTTTGTTACTTCGCTCAGAAATCTATTATCATCAAAATCTTTTTCAAGAAGCTCTCAAAGATTTAGATAATGCTATTAAACTTTCACCGAAAATATCCACATCATATTGTTGTCGTTCCGAAGTATATTGTAAACTTAAAAATTATGATCTTGCTTTAGCTGACATTAATAAAGCATTATCAATTCGAGATTCAAACCCTTTTGCTTATGAGATACGTGGAAATATCTATCGAAAGCTTGGCAAGTATAGCGAAGCTTTAAATGATTTTAATAAATCCTTAGAATTGCAACCATTTGACCAAAATTCAGATGATCAAATCGAAAGGAGTAATTCAGGATATGATGAAGGTTACGTTTTAATCTTTAAAATGCAAGGAGAACGAAACTTTGCAAATTTCTACGCAAGACGTGGAGCAACACTCTTTGCATCAAACCGTTACGAAGAGGCATTATCAGATTTAAATCAAGCATTAAAATTACAATCTGAACATCTACTTTCATTTAAAAAACGAGCATGTGTTTATCAAAAAATGGGTAAATTAGATTTAGCATTAAATGATATTAATAAATTTTTAGAACTTAGAGAAAAATACAGTAAAATTGGTCGTAAATCGGATAGTACCGCTGGAATACGAATTCGTGATTGTATTATAAAAGGAGATTAAAAAATTAGACCTAAAAAGTATTATAGAATTTTTGTTAACCTTATTATTATTGTATATTATTGCATAATATACATCATTCATTCATTCATTGAACATATTTATCAAATAAATAAATGCACGCGGGCAATGTGTTTCTGTTTCATTTTACGTTGTATATTGATTGAAAATAATAAAAGTTTTTGAATTGAATGGCACAGCGAAAACTTCTATACTTCTATCATAATCATCGTGATACCAATAACCTTTCTGTTCCACCAAAATATTCCGTTTGAGCCCTATCATTTATATAATTTATATATACTGCGATACATTGTAAATATTCAATTTCTGAATTATTGTGACGCAATAGTAAATTCGCGTTTAATTTTTTTAAACGAATGAAATTAAACAAATACTTTTTTTTGACCGAATTTCTAAATATAGCGATCCTTAAATGAGTATCATTGAATATGACAACATACGCATGCATGCGTTTCTCTACTGTGAACCGTTAAACGAATCTAATTTGATATTAGATTATAGAAAATGCTATACCTTAATTTCGAATGGTACATACAAGTACTTTAATCATGACACCACGCACGCTTTTTGTTTCACCAACATTTATATATACACACAACGAACAAATGCGATATATTAAGTGTACTCATATTTTCGGGAGCTCCCTTCTCAAGTAATATTGTATTCAGTATTGTATTCTCAAGTATTTGTATCCCCAAGTAATGTATTCTCCAAGTATCCCCAATATTCTCGCAATTGACGCAGTAGTGAATTCGCGTGAAATTATTTTAACGAATGAAAACCAAACAAATACTGTTTTTTAACCAAATTTCTAATTATAGGAGCCCCTTAAGAGAGAAATAATCAAATGTTTCAAATTTTCGCAAATATTTATGCGAGCTAATCTCGTGTAACTGATATGATGTTTACGAGAATAGAAAATTAAAAAGAAGAGAAATTATAAAATAAAAATGCACGGACAAAGTAAAGTTATTATTCAAAAAGAGTGCATTACTGGAATTTTTGAGATATCATACATAATATTCATGTAAAGAATGGTTACCTAAAGGTACTATTAAATAAAGATCTACTTAAACGTTTCAACTCACGTAAAATTTCCCTAACTTTTATGTAACGAAAAAAGGATAAATTTTCTTTACTACGCCATGAAATTAAACTATAATTGGTTAAAACTCAAAAGAATCTATCCAATTATATTTGACCCCAAGATCATCATGCACGATTTTGTTCAATGATAAGAAGTTCCATTGTTCTAAAAACATTTTTTACCCCCAAAATTTCCCGCCCAACAACCTTTTTTTTTAAAAAAAAAATGGATTGGTACCGTATGTAGAAGTATTTAACTGCAAAAGAATAATTTTGTAACCAAATAATAATAATAAAAATAATGCATTAATTCTTTATATTTATTCATTCAAGTAGGAAAGAAACGATTGAAAGAGAAAATATTACATTCAACTTCTACTTTCAACCCATTTAATAATAATTCAACGCATTCAACGCATTCAACGCATTTCAACATATTTAACCTTATCTGATGTCTTTTAATTTGTCTGGAAATAAAACCTGTAAATAACGATTTTATATTTCCTTATTTTACCAAATTCTAAGAATCTTAAGAATCTATAAATCGATTATTATTACCTTATCATTTCAAATCTCCATGACAAGAAACAAGGTTTCACAAAAAATCATCAAAGCAATAATCTCTTTTGTTTATTCCCTCGCCTCAGACTCTAATTAGTTAAATTAGTAAGTACTCGTGTAGAATCGTATGCATTACGGAAATTCATCAACAGGAATAAACAAACAATTTGAACAGGAACAAATATAAAAAAAAAAACCGGATTTAACAGGTTTTTTCAAAAAACTTGCTGGTATGGAATATAAACAAATTGAATTTGGAGAATAAAAAAATTTTGTCTCATTGTTATAGTTAATGTAAGTTTAATCAACACGCCTAAATGTACCTATATATAAAATCATATCTACATTAAGAAAAAATAATTGTGCTAGGAGATGTAAATATTTATGCTTAAATAACACGTAGGATGTGTCGTTGGATTATGTATGACTCGGCTTGTTTATAATCTTGGAATTTTAGATTTTTAAACTAAACTTATTTATAATGTTTTGGGGGGCATGTCTTAGAAACAGTTCAGGAAACGAAACATCAAAGAAATATCTAAATGTATCTAAATGTAGGGGATAAGCGATTATTATTTTAAATGATGTGCATATTTGATGTGTAAACAAGTTGATATCAATCAAAACTGGTTTTTTTTTTCTAAAGGAAAAAAAAACCCATTAAAGCAAACGATATATCCCACCTATTTCTGTTTTTCATCGAAACTTCATTGAATTTGATCATACATTATTTTTTTTAAGAAATATTTTCAACCCGTAAAATAATAATAAAAAAAAAAAAAATTAAAAATATATTTTTTCTTTCCTTTACATTCCTTACGCTAAGAAAATTATTAATAATATTTCACGTCTTTTTATCATATTTATTATTCCTTTGAAAAAACCCATATATAACATATCATACCAAAATTTTTGTATATATATCAAACAATATTCACTATGAAAAGTTTCTTGAACAGAGTACATAAGGTATTTTAAATTCCTTTTACACAATGTTCGTTCTTTTGACAAAGATTTGAATAATAATTATTCTATATTTCTCACTTACCTTTCGTTATAGGAAACCATTAACAAAAGTTTTAATATTAATATATCGAATACTAAAACAAAATTATGTCGCTCGGCATTTTGGACTTGTGGTTTATCGAAAACTATTTATTCAAATCGAACTATCCCAGAAGAAAAAGAAGAAAAAGAGAAAATTAAATCTTCTTTTAATTTAAAACGACAATTTCAAAGATTAAAAATCATAAATTTAGCAAAATTTAACCTTTTTAAAGCACAATTTTTTGAGGATGATAAACAAATTATTTTATGGTGTACAAAATTACTTGATGTTAATCCTGATAGTTACAATACGTTATGTGATAGAGCAGAGTCATTTCGAGAACTTAAAAATTATGAAAATGCTATATATGACTTGGATCATGCAGTTATTCTAAAACCTTATAAGGCAAGAGCTTGGTGTCTAAGAGGAATAGTTAAAAGCCTACAAAAATCTTATGTTGATGCAATTTGCGATCTTGATAAGGCTATTGAAATTAATCCTAAAAGCAGTCTAGCTTATAAATGGCGTGCTTATTGTTATTATATGATGAAATGCTTTGAAGAAGCTTTAACCGATTTAAATATTGCTATTAAAATTGGACCAGCTGACGCGTTTACATTTATTAATCGTGCGGATGTTAACCGAGAATTAAAAATGTATGAAAATTCTAAAAAAGATATTGAAATGGCATTTAAATTCAAGACTGATAGAGCTTTAGCATATGGAACTCGCGGAGTGATTCACCTTGATAATGGTCGATATCAAGAAGCAGTTCGTGATCTAAACAAGGTAAATGGATAATCTTTTGTGTATCATTGCACATTAATACTGCGCCATACGTGTAAAATTTATTAACTTTGATACAAAATCAACTATTTAAAAGACTTTAGAATTTCAACCGAACAACGCAATTGCATTGAGAAATCGTAGTGGAGCTTACAGAATGTTGATGCTTCCTGATGAGGCTTTAGAGGATTTGGAAAAAGCTTGTCTTCTCGAACCAGATAGTGATTATCAACATGGACTTCGTGGTGCAATATATCTAGATATGAGACGTTGGAGTGAAGCCATGAAATCTCTTAATAAAGCTTTAGATTACTATCCTGCTAAAGTTAGTCCAATCGGAAATCGGGCTGAACTTTACGTTAAACTGAGAAGATATGGTATATAATTTTTATTTGATTGGTTTATTATATTATCTACTCTTTAAAGTTCCATCAATTTTTGCTAACTTAAAAAATTTTTTTTATTGAAGATGAAGCATTAATTGATGTTAATCGTGCGTTAGAACTTGAACCGGATAACGCAGTTGCTTTACAACAAATTTCCGATATTTATCGACGTTTAAGAAAATATAAAGAGGCATTAAATTTTGCAGATAGAGCATTAATAATAGAACCTTTAAATGTTAATACTTTATTACTTCGAGCTGATATTTATTATTTAATGAAACGGCCACAAGATGCTCTTTTAGATTTAGATAGAGCTATAAAAATTGCTCCCAAAAATTCTTATGCTTATTGTTCTAGAGGGGAACTTTATTGTAAACTTCGTCGTTATGGTAAGAAATTAATAATTATTTAATTTATTTATACAAATTTTTTTCTTTTTTTTAATTAATCAAAAATTTCTTTCGACTTTTTAATAGATGATGCTTTAACAGATCTTAACAAAGCATTGAAAATTAAAGCTACAAATGTATACGTACTTGAAAATCGAGGAAATGTTTATAGAAAACTCGAAAGATTTCATGACGCCTTATTAGATTTTAATAAATCATTGGAATTGGAACCATTAAATTCATCTTATGTTGATTCAGATGATCATGATCCTAATGTTAAAAGAAATCATCGTGGATATGATGAAGGCTTTATCGTGACGCAACAAATGCAAGGTGAAAGAAATTTTGCAAGCGTTTTCAGTAAAAGAGGAGAAACTTATTTAAAACTTGATAAATATGAAGAAGCTTTAAATGATTTTAATAAGGCATTAGAACTACAGAATGAGCACTATTATTCTTTAAAGAAACGTGCATATATATATTGGAAGTTAAACAAATTAGATTCAGCTTTGAATGATATAAATAAATTCCTCGAATTGAAACCAAATTATTTATCAGGTATTCGATTGAGGGACAATATTTTACAAGATATCCAACGAATTGATGAAAGATTATTAACAAGATTAAGTATAATATGATAATTGATTCAATAGATTTATTATCAAGTATAATTTTTTATATAACATATATATTATATACAGTATATTTATATTTTTAGATTATTTCAATATTATAATATCATATATATATTATTATATTCATTATTACTTTTTTACAATTCTCTCCTTAGAATATTTGGGGGGTAATAGATTGCTTTTGTAGCACTAGCCCCTTATATTATTAAAAAAAAAGTGATATTATGCTAATTACTTTATTATGATTAATCCTATAAAAAAATTATCCGGAAATAACTTTCCAAAATTCCTCATGAAATGACATTATTTTATGGGTTTAAATAAAAATAAGGATGATAAAAAAATATTTTTACGGTGGATTCAATGAAACTTGAGACAATATTTGACTAAAACAAAAATGAATACAGTAAAATAATTAATTTGCATATAAATGAGTTCTAAAAATAAGCTAAAAAAATAAGGAGAAAGGAGTTTTGTAACTTTCTTTTTGAATTTCCAAAACGTCATTGAAAATTTGAAAGAATATCATAGATATTTCTAGATATTTTTACCTTAAATATTATTTTCTTCCCACGATTCTTTTTTACCGAATGCACTCCTAGAGATTTATTTCTAATTTAAGAGGAAATACGCGAAACACCATATCTAAATCTGTTCAGGGAGAAATTGACTGGGTTTAGTTCAAAAATGTGCGAACATGACATCATCGAAACTTTTGAAAGTGGTTCGCATAATACATGAAAATTGTAAAGAAATTCTCAATAATATTATAAAATCTATATTTAAATCTGTCCAAGGGGAAAAGGGATTGTCTTTACCTATACATATATTGTATATATTGTCTAGCTTTTTTTTTAACGCGACTGACTCAATTGAATTTTAGTTTCACATGACAAATATATATGACATATATGACATAGTAAAGAATCGACCTACAAAAACGATAAACTGATAATCATAAGTAATCATAGGGATAGTGGTCAATCATGTAGAAAACATTCAATTTTGGAAATTTTTTGAAACTTGAGAGTAATATTTGACAATAAATGACAATAAATGCATATATACTGTAATAATTTAGTTTAAATGAGTGCCAAAATAAGTTAAAAAATAAGGGGAAAGGAGTCTTGAACTTCCAAATTCCATCCAAAAAAGAACCTATTTACTTAATTGACAGGGTTTGGTTAAAAATATGACGTGGTGCCACATTATGGCTCGGTGATTTTCAAAAAAAAAGCAAACTAAGACTTTTTCCTTTAAAATAAAGCTCCTAAAATTCCTAAAATAAAACGTATTTCATTCACTCTATTAAAAGTCTACTTATAAGTTGGGATGATGTTAAAAATTCCATTCTTGACTTTAAAATATGACCTCTTTGCCGATCATTTCCGAATTTGGATTTAACGAAAAACAAATTAGATGTTTAAAGCCACCTTAAGTAAACCTTTCTTTTTTATTTTTGCTGCGCCACACCTGCGATGTCATTATTATTTATAATCGCTACTAATATATTTTTATTTTTGAAGGTATTCATTTCATAATACACATTTCTATACAATCGATTTAGGATATTGGTCCAAGGGGAAAGGGATGAATTTTCTATACTTATACATATACATATTGTTTTTTTTACGCGACAAACTATCTCGGTATTAAAAATTTGGTTTCATATGACAGATATATATGACATAAACAAGGATCTTAGATCTACAAAAATAACGATTAACCGTAAATCAACCATTAATCGCATTAATCGTAATTGAAAAACTTCATTGTATTCCGGAGACATTCAATTTTGGAAAATTTAAGAATTTTACATATAAGGCATATATTTATAAATTTAGAATCCGGTCGGGATCCCCTGATAGGATAAATGTCAATAAAAAAGTTGCAGAGAAAAGTATCATGAGAACAATTGACTAGTTTAGTAGGGGGAGGGGGGAATTAGTAGCATTATTATTAAATTATTATATATAATTAAGACTATATTAAGTTAACACATGATTATAATATAAAAATTAGAGCAATGAAATTAATTTTAATTGGTTTAATTTTATATGATATATTCTCCTTTATTAAATATATCATTTTATTACAAATATAGTATATTTTTAATTTTTTTTTTTTTGATATCCTTCGATTTTTGGATTATCATTACTTTTACTTATCAACTCCTATCTTTTCATTCCTTTATAATTTATATCAAAATATAGTAAAATTTTCTAAATGAAGTCATCTGAATTGTAGTCAGATGATTTTTCGTATTTATGACACTGCATATACCTTATGAACAATTATGAACAAAGGAAAAATAAAGAGAAGAAAAATCGTACGATTTTTGATGCATAAATTTTTTGAGAAACCCTTTGATCTTATATGTAAACAAAAAATAGTCCATCCCTGCAAATAATAAATGTGATTTTCGAAAACAAATTTCAATTGGATCTCATATTTATGTAATTCATGTCCAATCAAATGATCTGTTATTGTTAAAAAATAACGGAAATTTCTTTTATAGCCATTCTAAAAATTCGAAACGTGTTTATATTCCTTACAAATATTTACAAAAAATACAAACATTAGATGTATTAAAAAGTCTCGACTGATTCCTTGGTATATAGTTTTCAAATTCACATGATATCTATTATTATGGCAAAAAAACAAATCGTACCAGATATATTAGAACAAATTAAATATGTTATTGAAAAAATTGATTTTTGAATTGAGTAAATAAACGATACGAGAGATACGATAATTTGTTAAAATAAGAATCATGTAATTTTTATCAAAAAAAAAAAAAAAAAATCTATATATCGAATACATCGAATATGTACATTATTTCACCTAATTATTAACTCATTATAATATGAAAATTTTTTTTATTATTGTTTTTCATTTAATTTATTTTATATAAATCTTTTAGGTTTAGATTTAGATTGATTTTCCGAATTCATGAATATCTCGTGAAAATAATAAACGATTTACAAAAAGAATTTGAACTTGGAAGGAGTAATTGGTAACAAAATCCGTAATCTTCGATATCACATGACCGATTTTTTTAACAAACATTTATATAAATCAGAACAATTTTGCCCAAGTTATTAAAAATTTTTTTTAAAAAAAAGACAAAAAATCTCATATTTCTTATTTTATTTCCTAGCGAAAATATTTAAATAAAATGGGAGTTAAAGCGACCAAAGTAACCACCAATTCGATAAAAAGAAACTCTGATAGTGACGTTTCTCGTAATACCACTGATAGTTTCTTTGAAGATACATCAAGTTCATTAAGTTCATTAGGTGCACTCTCACTTTATGAATTTACCATAACTTCAAATTTTGATACATATTTGTATTTGGATGGCAGAAAATTTTATAATATTTCATCATATATTTTACCAAGTGATGTCATGGAAACGAGAAGAAGTGATTTTACTCATGAACTTTATAAACGTCGTTGGTATGGTAATTTTTCTTCTCCCGTAGATGAATTATTAAAATCTGGAGGTGGAAGAGTATTAGAATGCGGGTAAATATTTTCTCTTTTTTATAAAAGTTCAAAAAATATCAAGAAAAAGTATTTTTTTTTTTTACGAACGTTAATTAAATTAATAGATGCGGCTCAGGAAGATGGTCATATGATATGGCAGTTAATTATCCGAATTCGACATTTATAGGATTAGATATGGTTCCAACATTTTCAGATATAAATAATGACGATAATAAACCATCAAATCTTGGGTTTCTTGAATATAATATATGTGATGGATTACCTTTTGAAGAAGCTACCTTTGATTTTTTATTTCAAAGATCAATGATAATATCTTTAAGTAAACCACAATGGAATATTATGTTAAATGAATTTGCCAGAACTCTTAAACCTGGTGGTTGGTTAGAATTAATGGAATTAAATATTAATGATATTAGTTTTACTAAAACTGCAAGAAAATTTCAAAGAGCATGTAAGTTATTAATTTAAATGCTAATGTTTTAACGAAAATATAATTTTAATAATTAATAATTTATTATTATTTTTTTTTTTAATAGTAAATACATATTTGGAAATAGATGATCATTATTCATTCCATCATTTTCCAATTCATAATTTATTGAGGACAACGAATAAATTTAATTCAGTAAGATTGATAGAAAAAAAGGTCCCCATTGGTAGTTGGGGTGGTGAATTTGGTTTAAAGGTAAAAAAAAACATATTCATTTATTATTTTATTTTTATTTAAAAAATAATTATTAAATAATTAAAAATTTTCTACTTTTTTTTAGGTGGCAGATGTATTAATTGAAGTATATGAAGGAATGAAACCAACGATAAAACAAATTATGAACGTTACAGACTCAGAATTTGATGAATTAATACACAAGCTTTCTCGTGAGATAAAAAGTCCACTAAATAATTATATGTATATTACTTCTGTAAGAATTATCGCAATGAGGAATAGTGAACCATGGTAATTTTACATTTGCGCTGGTTGTTAATGCTTATTTTTTTCGAAATTACCATTATTTTTTTTTTTTCGAACAATTTATCGGTACTTAATATAATTATCTTTATTAAATACATTTATTTGATCGCCAGGGGGGGGGGGTTGCGGGTTTGGGTTTAGAGAAAATTGAAATATGTATTAGAACAATTATAGTGTATATTTTTAAGGGATAAATAAAAAAAACTTTATATCGTTATAAATGATACCTCAATAACAAATATCAAATATGTCATCATCATAATAATCATCATTCTGTTGAGTCCTACTATTATTATCAGTATCTTCATTTAAAATTTCCCAACCTCTTAAAACTCCTTCTAATTTAAAAGATTCAAATATATCAAGATGTTGTGCTAAATTAGAATTACGATCAAATGCTATAAATAAATTTTTTTTACTTCTCCAACTTTCTAAAAATTTAATTAAATCCTCTGATGAATAATTTATAATTCCAATAAAAGTAAGTTCATTCAAATTTTTAGTTTTATTAGCTAAAATATTAAATAAAGGGCTCACTTCAATAGCATTCCAAAATCCAGTAAAGGATGTGAATTCAATTATTAATGTTTTTAAATGTTTACAAGAAATTAAAAATTCTTCAAAAATTTCCAAATGACCTTCAATGAACCAAATTTTCGCCTTTTCTAACATTGGACAATTTTTAGTTAATGATTTTATATAATAAAGTATCATTCCTTCTTCTTCTGGCCATCCATCAATATCAACATATATTTCTCGAATCATACCTTGAGTTTTTTCAATTATTTGACCATATTCTTTAAATAATGATATATCTCCATAATTTCTTCCATTTCCACCTTGTATATTTATTATTTCAACCCTTGGAAGGTTTATAAATTTTAATAATTGAAAATTATACCCATAAGGAAAACAAATATAAAGTTTTTTTATATTATAAAGTTGATTTAATGATTCAATAGGGATACAAACAAAATCGATGAAATATAATGATATTAACGTATCAACTTGTTTGATTATAACTTCTCCTAATTTGGTAAATGTTTGATTAAAAGAGGTAAATCTCATCTCTTTCAAGCTATTTTGTGATTCTATTAATGATAATAATCCAGGATTATCATTTATTGTATTTGTTTCACATATTTCAATACTCAACCTTTGAATATTATGACATATTTGAGAGAGATCAAAATAAATTTTTGAGGAAACATTTGTAGAACATTCTAATTCTATAAGATTTTGTAAAGATGTTTTCCCACCAGGAAAATAATAAATTGGAATATATGTAGGTTCAAGATATTTGATAATTGAACTTTTATTCATAAACATTTTCCAAATTTCATTTTCTAAAATATTTCCATCATTATCAATTTTATTAACTAATATTTCTTCTATACATCTTAAAATTATACGATAAGATATATATTGAACGTATTCAACATAGTTAAAAATTGAATATTCAGGAATTTTAATTTTTAATCTAATATTATATTTCTTTAATAAATTTTTGGATTCAATAGGTAAACAAGTTAATATTGTCCTTGCAAATCTTTCCCAGAATTCGTTAGTCCTGATATTATTCCAACCGAATAAATTTTCAGTACCTTTATTTTCCCAATCAATTCCAATTGGGTTTTTCCATAAAATTGGTATCGTGATATCACACCACATTCTATTAACTAATAAACATGAATGTAAATCATGTATTTTATGATCATGTTCGAAATGTCGAAATATTTCTCTGAGACAATCCGCAGGAAGTAAAATCATATTTTTTTTAAAAAAAAAAAATCGAAAATTGATCAAGGGGAAAAAAGGGGGCCCGAATATTTATAATTAAAAAGAAAGAAAAAGGAAACCCCTATTGATACAAAAATGTTTATTTATATGCATTATGAAACGTGTGACTACGGGATTAAGCATGGTCTTACTGCGGGAAGTCCCGAAAACTTTTTTTGTCCAAAATCTCCGAAATTTTGTCTAATTTCTTAAAATGACGTAACCAATCATATTCGATTACAACACGACGTTACCTAAAAGAAAAAAGGTTAGAAGGAAATTAACCATTCATCTTTCCATTTTAATAATCTAAGAAATGTTGATCATTAACCAAACATTATGTCATAACGGAACTTATTTTTATCCAATAGCGGTAATACATTTTATTAAAGGCTTTATTTGGGCAATTTTGAATTCGAAATAATAGATCATCCCCAAAACTACGATTTTCGATCCGCACTTGAATCACATTTTACTTACCGTACTCGGGTATGAACTTTGGTAGAATTAGGCTAATTCTGGCCAATTTTGGAGATATCCCGGGGTAAAGTGTGTTACCTCTATAATCTATACTCAACTTTTAGAAAAAATTTAAAAAAATTGTGCTATATTCATTAAAAAGAATTAACTGTTAATTTACAAATAAAAAAGTCTCGATTTTTGTCAGATTATGTAAGCATCATGTGATATTAATAAGAGCCAATCAAAAATCAATGGTTATAAATCATGTGATTTAATATTTGATTAATAAATTGAATAAATTGAAAATAAAAATTATAATACCTAAATTTGAGACTATATAATAAATTTTGTATAACTAATTTTAAATTAATATAGTATTTAACATGGATTACAGTAATGATCAATTAGTAAAAAGAAATTCATAAATAGTCTATTTATCAAAAAAAATGAATAAGAATTAAGGAATTTAACATCATTTCTTTTAGGAACTACCAATCAGGTATACTTTCCAATAAAGTAGATTCTTATTATATAGTATAAGAGAAGATTTAATGATCAGCTCTTATTATAATTTACATCTTTATAAATTGAAATGATATAGTATTCTAAGATGATATATGCAGCTGATTATACCTAAATAATATAATTATATTATTTAGGTATAATCAGCTTAGATTAGATTATTTAGTAATAAAATAATCTAAATATAATTAAATAATCTAAATATAACTAAATAAACTAGATATAACCAAATAAACTAGATATAACTAAATAATTTAAATATAACTAAATAATCTAAAGTTAATAATCTAATTGTAATTAAATAATCTAATTAAATAACTTAAGTGTAACAAGTTTTTTATACCTTTTTATTTTTTCTACTATATTCCTTGCCTTTGAAATCACTTTTCTTTATAATCATGTGATTAAATAACCTAAATATAATTATGACCAAATAACCTGAATGCACCTATTTTTATTATGTTTTATATATTAATAAATGTTTTCTATTATATTTTATGCTGGTGAGGGTTTATGGTTATTCAATTGTTAAATAGATATCTGCTTATTAATATAATGATAGTTTATAGCCATTAGACTGATTAGAACTTCAGGTTATTGAATATCTGTTAGCTTTTCTTTATACTTCCTTTTATTGCTAAGAAATTGGGTATTTATTGGTGCCTTTTATTTCACTTTTTATTGCAAAAAAATATCATGTTAGATGGTACAGTAATTCAATGTAAATCTGTATTTAAATTTGGCCAGCACTATAGCATAATTCAGATTGATTTTTAAGGTATATGATTTGAAGAATCCAAGCTGGCATGCTAGAAAGGCTCTATTAGTTCACCAGTTTCAAACCACTTATATGTCAACTTGGATGCTGAATTCTTATGCCTAAAGTTTTGGCCAAAATTATGGAATAGTGTTGGCCAAAATTAAACAAAATTTTACTGTACCTTACTGCGTTAATCATATGATTTAGTTTCTCAGTTTCTCGCCAGTTCCCAGTACTAGTACAATATAGTACAGTACAGCTTTAAACAGGTCCTTGTTTTCCCGCATTCAGATGTTCCTAAAAAAATTAATGTTGTTCATTGCTTTTGCTTCTGCAATTGCAGACTGAACCTCTAAACCCGGGTAATTGGCTTATATTTATGATCATCTCTGGGGAGATTATGTAGTAAGAGCGAAGGACAATCACCCGAAAAAATAGCAGGTACACTTGTTTTAAGAGATGACATTCCTGAATCATATGATGGCAATGAATCATTATTTTTTATGAACTTGTTAAGGAATTGTCCATGTTTGCTTTTGAGAAAGTTTTCGAATATTTCATTAGTTTGGAAAAGCGTCACTGAAAAGTTATTTATGAATGGTAATAAAAATGAATATTATTAACAATAAATCTTTTAGCTGGTTACAAAAAAAGATACTGTACCACCTTGTGGAACACCTTGCTGGGAGAACACGAATAAAAGGAGATTAGACCAAATTGATATTTTGTTATTGCAAATTTCTTGTTTGAGAGGTAAAACGTTGGGAGACACTTACCAGTGTAAGAGTCAACCATTTCGATTGTATGTCTGTAATGATAAAATATTTTAGAGAAAGAGAAAGAAGTTTGAGAAAACTATACTTTTCTGAATACATCGTGACTAATAGTAAATAGACTCTTGATAAACTCTGATTTAATAGCTTGTACTACGAAAAAATTAATAAGCATAGCAAAAAAAATTTACAGCACGCGGAGAAAAAATGATTAATATGATTTTATTCATTACCTGTTACAGTATCAGTATCTAATAGTTTACGCGTTTTATAGTTTAGCAGTTAGTGTATTTAATATAGGAATTCTTTTTTTCGTAAAAAAAAATTATTTAAATTTAAAGGATACTGTTAAAATAACTTTATGTATAATTTTAAAGAATTATAATATACTATTTTATTGACCGAAAAGTAATAATATACGGAGGAAATTTACATATCGATAATATTAAAGTGGCTTTATACAATAATTTTATGTCCGACATGTCAAAATCATTGTACTACATTTGATCGTCTCTAAAATTAAATGATTCTTTATAAAAATTACAATTTTTTATTATTATTTCATATAAATAATATATGTTATTATTATGATTGACTGAAAATTCGCGAGCCAAGACTCAGCCGATTATCTTATATTATCCATAGGGTAATTTGGAAAAAAGCTCTATATTAAATAATAAATTTTTTCTTCTTCGATAATTAAAAGGATTCTTTTTTTTCGTAATATATAAAGTTATTATTTTGCAAGATTTAAATATTATCGGTATTTTTTGTGCGTAATGATTGAACTTTATTAATTCCATCAAGAGATTATGGTAGATAAAAATATTGAAAATATTCTTTACTATAATGACCAATTTTAAAGTTTGTCTTTTCGTGCGAATGATGCAATATGGATAAAATTTTCCTGTTTAAAAATTTCAATAATTTTTTTACCTAAAAAAACTATTTAACATATCTATCTAATTTAAACGTTTCTTTGAAATTTTCTCAATCCCCTTATGGCTAATAGAGTACTTATTTCTTCAATTTTTAGTATAAAAATGTTAGTAATTCGCATAATTGAACGATAAAGATCGATCATAACGCTAAAATGCTGAAACTTAACCAATATTTTTTTTAATATTGGGTGAGTATAGAGGTAATGCACTGCATTTAGTCAGTGCTATACTGTATATACTGTATTGATAAATTACTGATTCGAAATTTGTAATCTCGCGACGAGAAAATTAATTTATCTTTTAATGGCTCTACGCCTCAGTATTTGATTAGGACGATGCAAGCATAAGCAATACGCTATTGTCCGTATGTGCAACATACACAATCGAATGTTTATAAAAAAAAATTCATAGTATTTTTTTTTAAAGAAAAATATATTATAAATAGAATATATTTTGCTATTTTTTGATGCTAAAAATATAAAAGTATTATTATTTATTATTTAATATGTCTTAACGAGATAAATATCATGAAATTATTCAATTTTACATATATAAAACTGTTACCATTAAATTTCATCAATGGATGCCGAAATATATCTTTAAGGGATAGTCAAATTACCGTATATTTCGAGTAGTAATTTACACGCTATTGTTAGTCATATTACGTTGATATATAATTGATATCCTATTTAATAAAATAATACGACAAAGAATAAATTTTCCTTTTTTTTCTTTCCTTTTTTTTTGAAACAATAACATTTTTTTGATGATTTTGAATATACTTCAAAAACTATGTCGATCGTATACAATACTTTTTATATGTTTTTGTTAGGTTTTTGTTCCGTAATTTGACTAATTTGGTGATGATGACAATTACATTTGACTGCTGCGGAAAAAAGTTTAAATTATTTAAAGCGATTTTTCATCTCTTAAAATTTCTTATTCTCTAAAATTTAAAAATTTTAACAATATTTGAAAATAATAAGAATAATAAGAATAATAATAATAGATATATAAATAAAATCATTTTTTTTTTAAAAAAAAAAAAACATACAACTTCTCTAGAATATATTTTAAAATGAATAATATGTACAACGACGCTCTTCAACCTCATATTAGTAATTTATTTACTCAATCACAGGTTAATACAGCTCTTTTAGCGTGGCTTCCAACAAAATTAGAACCATATTTGACCGGAATCATGGCGGTTGATATGTTTATAACAACTGTTTTAGCATCTGGAATTACTACTTTAGCTTTTAAATTATTTCGTTCCTTTCGAACAGGAATCTCATGGAGAAATGAAAAAAATGTCACCATTCAAATTGAACATTATACTGTAGGAAGATATGGTATCCAATACGTAAGTGTATTTTATGAGGCTTTATCTTGGATAATTTCTCAACAAACAAAAAAATTAGATAGAGGCTCGTTTATTGTGAAACCTATGACAAATTCGATAAAAAATCGTAGTATCAATGATGATGATGATAACGAATTTGCTCCTCCGGGTTTTAACATTCTTCCAGAGAAAGATCAACAAATTACCATTGAATACGAAGGAAAAGAATTTTATGTTACGATTCGTATGGCTGAACAAGAGATTATTAATGGTGATAATATTCTTAATAATGATTTCGGCGAAAATATGCCCTTTCCAAATATGAATCCAAATACAAAAAAATCTGCACCTTCAATTTATTTATCAACCGTTAAGGATTCGAATACGAACGTTGATGCAATATCTGAATTTTTAAATCAAATTGTAAGATCTTATCTAATAACTCAAAAAAAAATGAAGGTTCGCTCAAGATATGAAAGGAATGAAAGTATGTGGCAAAATATGCATCCATTATCTTCAGTTAAAGGTTTGAATAGTGTTGCTTTGGATGAATCACTTGAAAATTTATTAAAAAAAGAGTTAGACTTATTTGTAAATGATAAAGATTTCTATGAAAGAGTTGGAATGCCTTATAGACGTGGTATTTTATTATATGGAAAACCTGGAACAGGAAAGACTAGTTTGATAAATGCTATCTCTTCACATTTATCTCGTAATATCTATTTTTTGAATCTCAAAAATATTACGGATGATAATGAATTAAGTGCTGCGTTTAGTGATGTTCCCGAGAATCAAATTATTGTACTTGAAGATGTCGACACTCAAACAGATGTTCTTCATAAACGATCAAAAAATTCTTCATTCTCTACGAAATCTTCCAATAAAGACAAAGATTCAAAAGTTAATGAGTCTTCAAAATTCAGTTTATCAACATTTTTGGGATGTTTGGATGGTCATACCTTATCAGAAGGAAGTATCATTATTATGACAACTAATCACATTGAACATCTTGATCCTGCTTGTATTCGTCCTGGTCGTATGGACGTGCATCTTAATCTTGGTTATTGCTCTCATTATCAAATTAAAAAAATGTTTAAAAGTGTCGTTGAAAATTCTAAAATTGAGTTCTCTCAAGATATTCTTGAAAAAATTCCTGAAAATTTATTACCTCCTTGTGAAGTTATGATGACCATGGTTTTATATCGCAATGAAATTGAACTTATTCCACAAAAGATTTATGAATTGGTTGCAAAATATAAAGATATGAAACCTGAAGATATTGCAAAACAAATGGAAGAAGAAGCAGCATACTATGAAGAAAAGGAGATACAAGTTTACGATGAAACTGAGGAAGAGGAGGAAATCGATTATGAAAATGAAGATGAAAATGGAGAAGACAATAAAAAGGCAAAGAAAGTGGAAAAAACTATTAAGACAGTAGTAGTTAATAAAAGGAATGGAACGATTATGTGTGCAGAAGTGGATAGTGATAATAGTGGTAGCAATACAGACATAGAATCCGAAGGATATCAAAAAATTTTTAAATAATAGAATTTTTCACATTATATAATTGCATTTAATACCTCCTAATTTTTTTTATAATTTTTTTTTACTTATTATTTTAATTGGCTTAATGTTTAACAATAGACTTTTTTTTATAATATTGTCATAAAACTATTCTGGTAAATCAATAATAAAGAAAAGAATTTGCTACGTAATCACCAAATTTTGTTGGCGTCAGATCACTTATCAAAAAACTTAAAATCTTTTATTTTCAATAGCAATATACCGATCTTTCTTGGACAAATTTTTTTCTCTTTACGAAAAATAAATAAAATTATTCTCCCAAACATTTAAAAATGCCTGATAAACAACTTTTTCTGAAACTTCCGATTCAAATATCAACAAAAAAGAAAAATTTATTCTGGTGAAGAATCATTAGAAGAAATTTCTCAGAAAAATCGGGGAGAAAATAATCAACCATCTCCATCACCTGAAAGAAAAAAACAAACGAAAAAATCAAGTGAGCAACGTAAAACGAGATCTACTATAAAAAAAGCTACCGTCTCTTCATCGCACGATCCAATGATTTTATCTCAAGAAGAACAAAAAAATGATGTTTTAGAAGGACTTCCTAAAAAAGAAATCGTAATCATCTCGTGAAGCTTGGACTACAGAGGTACAGCAGAATAAGAATTAATTACATAATTTATTTCTATTTTTACTAAAAAGGGAGATTTTTTTTTTTACTTGAATAATAAAGGAATTGAAAAAAGCTCTTGGCCAATTTAAAGTAACTATTGATAAACCATCACCTAGCGAGTTTAATAAAGAATTTCCTTCTCGCTCAAAGAAAGCTATTGCACATAAACTTGATTTTATTGACAAAAAGATTAGAGAATCGTTGAGTAATGGTGATACGAACTAGACCCAACACGCGAGTTTTGCCATCATCAGTTGAAGAACAAAGATTCAGAAGAGGAACGCCAACTGCGCCAACTGATAATCGCGAGAGATTTGAACAAAATTGCGAGAATATTAAATTAATTTTAAACCTATGTTTAGAAATTTAATTTTGAGAATTTAATAAAATTTGTATAATTTACTTTTTTTTTTTGTAAGCATCTTCAAAAATACGATTACATCGGACTTTAATATGACATTGACCTGGAACAGGGCGAAGGGAAGGCTGAGATCTGAAATAAATAAGTTTTCATCCATCCGATAGTATAGCAAGCGAGCAGGAAGTTATCAGACGTACAGAAAAAATAGCCAAGTTATTGGGGCTAGAAGAGCAAAATTCGAAAGTATATAATATGCTTTCTGGGGAAATTGGAGCGCTAGTATCAGCGCTAATTTTATTTTCTTCTTTTGTGAGAAAAAAGATTGCTTGTGTTATACATACTTTACTTTGCAGAACAAGTTTGGGTTCCTTTTTTTATCTGAAAGTTTTTTTTATAAAATCTTATATTAATTCCTTCGGTTCAGTTATAAAATTAGTATTTAACGTATTGATATTTTACAAATTCTTCATTATTTATATTATCGTTTTTAATTTATTTTCAATTTTCATTGGCTTACAGGCGATCATCATTTCTGAATACCCCATGTATACTATATAGCACATTTATAGGAAAAAACAATATAAAATAATAAATATTTGCAATATGATCGTGTCACTTCCGTTACACAACATAATGAGATAAAAATCGTTTATATTGGTTAATTTGATTTTTTGTTATTACCGGGTTTAAATAACCTAAAACTTTAATTCTACATACTTCATCTTTAATATTTCACCTTTCAAATGACTTCACTTTCGTATATAATTAATAAATATCTTTTTTAAATGTAAAATGTTTAATAATTGGCAATATAACAATAATATTCTATACTATTAGTACGAGCAAATATAATTGAAAAATTAATTTTACTTGCACAAATTTGGTTGTTTTTTTTAAACAATAAAAAATACAATAGAAATATGTTACCAGATTTATACAAATTTCCCGTGGTACCTTGCACACTTGGCATAGAGTCTTACTCTATATGTGTTAGTAGTTTTCAATTTACTGTCATGAAATATATTTAATTTTATTGATTAAAAAATGTTTATAAAAAAGAAATCTATCAAATGAAAATTGAAAAAATATTTCATAAATAATATATCACAAATAGGAATAGAAAAAAATGTTTGTTATATACTAATAGATTGTAAAATGTTAATCAATTGAAATTTCTAAACCAAATTCTTGTGAATATCAGTGAAAAAAGAAGGAATTATCCACAAATCCATTCTTCTTATCATGGGTTCAGCAAAAGCAGGTATAATCAATATATAAACTACTAACATTAATAACCACTTCAAAAACACGCCCGCGTATTTTCTAAAATTATAACCTTCCTTCTCTGCTTTCATCTTATCTTCTCTTTCAGAAGTAAAAACTAGTTCCCAAACAATCATTATTAAACCATGTGACATGAAAAAAAATAAATGTTCACCGGTAATCATATTAAACATTCCTAAAATATAATATTCATGTAAAAGAGAACTAATAAAAAAAGCTCCTAATACTCCCATAGCATTGCAAAACTTTCTTGAAGTAATTCCCAAGCTAATACATAGATTCCTAAAAGGGAGATAACCAAGTTCTTTTAATGTTTCAGCAAACATAGTATGCCAACGTGATGACCAAACTTCTCTTGGATTTTTTGATATCCAGGGATTATCAAAACAATGTTTGGTGTTAAATGTATAAGTAATAAAGTAATTTTTTAACAAAGAAAATTGTATTGGTGTTAATAAACCTGATTTGACAAGAATATGTTTTTCTGGGGTACTCGATTGACTTGTAATCATGCATCGTAAAGCTAATAAACTAAAGAGTACAATAATATCATAATGAAATGATAGGTATAAGAAAAAGAAAATAAAAAAACTAACGTAATGAAACAATGAAGCTGCAGTAAACGTAAAAATAGGAATCCCTTTCGTAAAATATTCAATCATACGAATTTGATAAGCTCTTTCAGGAACTTTTTGTGGAAAATTAGCAAATAAATATAAAACTGCTTCATAAATCATCAGCTTCCATATAAACACCAAAACACGTGATTTGGTTTTTTCATCAACTTGTTTCATAGTCGGCTCTTCGATTTCGGTCTTTGATTCTATATCGGAATCATGACGCCAACTATTAAGTGTTAAAATATACGGAGTAAATTCTTTTTGTTGATTAATTTTGGTATCAGGTAAGTATTTTCTATTGTACTTTATAAACAAACTCATTTTAAAAGAATAAATTCCTGTGAAAACTATCACATTAGTCATAATTCCTGGATGATATTTTAATCGATAACTTAATGGAATTATTAAATATAAAAATAATAACACTATTAAAGTATAACATCTTTTTCTCGTTTTAATAGGTTCAAGTGAAAGAATTATGAAAAGTAATTTTGGAATAAAATAAAGCGATAAGAATACTGTTGTTGGCAATTTTGGTGGAAATTCTTTTGTTAATATAGTTGGATTTGTTATCGCGAAATTTATCACATACACGAAAAGAGTTGTTGTTAAAATATAAAGTGAATATGAATCCTTCTTCGTTAATGGATGCATTTTAAAATTTTTTTTTTTTTTAAGAATCGAATATTGAGAAAAAAAATGAAACGAGTATTTTACATGGTATTTATATACTTGAATAATGTAACGCTTTATGCATTTTATCAAAATTTTTTTTACAGTTTATTAATACAATAAATCAGTACAATTTTGTATAATTATACAATCAATGTAATGTATGCGGCAATGATCTTCAAGATTTTTGTTAGCTTAGAATAAGATTCTTTAAAATAGATTTTAAAATAAGAAGGAAATTACAGATATGGAAATCAAAGTATTTAGCCAAGTTTACTTATAAAACGTCTAATACAAAATTTTTTCGATCTCTACATATGAAACTCCGAATTTTTAGAATAGAGATTAGTATGCTATTATGTTGTCAGAACATTACATATGAAACTCCGAATTTTTATAATAGAGATTAGTAATGCTATTATGTTGTCAGAACATAATTACCTGTTTAATATCATTTTTTCATTTTTCATTTTTATTTTCCATTTTCACTTTCATTTTCACTGGTTCATAAGCGATTGTAGCATTTGTCCAATTATTGATTCATTAAAAAATATTATCTGAATATTTCCGTTATATCCCTAAAATCTGGGAAATTATCTAATCTTTTAGACGTTACTTCGTATCTCGTCTTTCGCAACATACAGTAGTTATTAAATATTTAATAGTGCTTATAAAAGAAATAGTTTATATCAGTTAATTTAAATTTTTTTTTATTATGTTATTGTTGCCATTTTTTAAATAATTAAAAATTCGGCTCCTATATTATATACTCCACCTTTTAATTGACTTTGCTCGCGTATATAAAGCAGAAAAAGACGTACCTTGTTTGACGATTTTCGTATAAACATATATAAATGTTCACTTTATTTTTGAACATTTATGTGTGAAACTCGGTATTTTGTTATTACTAAGCTGTCACATGAACGGTTCTGATTCGTGAGAAATTCGTATTGATCACGTTACCGCATGTTATCGTATCGAAGTTGGCGCAAATCGTAAAGAGAATTAGTAGCAAAGTATGATAAACTATAGTTAATTTTTTTAAGAAATTGTAATTAGCGTTTAAATTAGCCGAATAAATTAATCCAAGACTTTTTTGCAATGTATTAGCGAGTACTCTTGACTAATATTTAAAGATTTTTTTTTTACAATACTATTTAATTTTAACAATTATTTACCGAGACATATTTTATTTAAAAATATAAAGAAATAAATAAAAAGAGCGAATCAATGTCTATAAAAACTGAAATTAAATGTTAGTTTTGCTAAAAATCAAATTAAATAAATATACTTATAAATAACTAAGAAAAATAATAAAAAATTTAAATTTTCAAGCTTCTCGCAAAATTATTGCCATTTCGTGATGGTACGGCAATTTTTTGCGTAATATATCCAGGGCTTTGGTAGCGTCAGTATCCCCGGATACATAATTCACAAACATAAATATGTTAGAGTTTTGTGAGCGTACACTTGTGGCATTCAACCACCTCTGCAAGACATCATCAATGAATGCCTTTATTTCCTCCTTTTGTGGCAGACGATCACTATCATTAAAAAATTATTATTTGTAAGACTTATTAGAAAATTATAAGAAATTACTGTACATATAACCTCTATAAGCATTTTCTAAATAAAAATACAAACCTGTCCAACCTTTCCTTAAAGGATTTAATTAATCTTTCTATCTCATCAATTAATTTGTTGCGAAAATCGCCAAAGTGCCTATTGGCTAACTGAAGCCATTCGATACTATCAAATCACATTTGATAGACCTGAAGGAAAAGACATTTTAATTCCTCCAAGAAGTCACAGCCAATTTTTGTCTGTTATTTAAATAAAAATAGCTTAATTCAAATAGAATATATTAAAAATATTACCCTATCTTGAGTTAGTTCTTCATCAGGAGGTTATATGAGGTGAATATTAGTGTAAAGTTGTCAAATATGTATAATACCTGGAAATTTATACTCCGTAAAAATCTATAAATATACGATTTTGCACAATTTACACTTAAACATAGTTATTTAATTGGGCATATCTTAAAAAGTGGCATAAGCCTTTCATGAATAGGTAGTTTCAAAGTTTCACATCTTGAAATAATTTCTTAAATATATGATTTTAAGTAATCTACACATAAAAACAATTTGAAAAATACTTTATTGATTTTGTATCTTAAAAAGTTTCATAAATTCTACACAAGTAGGTAGTTTCAGTAATTTACGCTTTAGAATTTGCATAAATACATGATCTTGTATAACCCACACATTGAAAATGTACCTTAAAATATTTTGAATAAATTTGATGTAAATTTACACAAGTAGGTAACTTTAGTAATATATTTTCATAATCTACACTCTAAAAGAATTATATAAATACATAAATACAAAGGTTTAAGCATGCCTTTATTCTAAGATAAATATGAAATATAATATTAATAATTAAAAAAAAGAATAAATAGTGTAGTTAAGGTTGCCTGTCTAAACCTCTCCAAAATTCTACAATTAGTTTCTCCAAGATTTTACTATAGTTTTATTATAGTTTCGGCAAGGTTTTGGCAGTTTCAGCATTTATAATAAGTTTCGTCAGGGTTTGCTTTTTTCCAGAGTTTTGCCAACTTTTTAATAAGACTTTCATATAGTTTCGGCAAAGTTTTGCTATTTCAGCATTTCGCCAACTTGCCAAAACCCCCTAGTTTCTCCAGCAACCTTAAGTGTAGTGGTTAGATCATAATAAGACTTAAAATATTAATAATTTATCTTGAAGTATTTCAGTTTGATTCTTAGTGTAAATAAAAAAATAAATAAATAAAATGTAATTAGTAAAGAGGTATTCAGTAATTCAGTTTGGCTTAGAGATAGGAATTGATTCTAATTTTAAGAATCGATTATAGAATCAACTAATCATGATTAATCAAATCTCAAGATTTGATTTAAAAATTTGATTTTTAGTTTCGATTAATCAATTCTAATCAATATTATATACATAAAAATCATGTGTCACAATTTGGATGATCATGGTTTTTCACTTACAGTAATCAAATTTTTTAATTCTTTTATCATTGTCACTGGTTAATAATTCTAGCTAGTAAATTTGACCTTGAAAATAATCAATCTGGGTCTTGAAATAACTAATAATTATGAATTTTCATTCAATTGGCCAAATTGGCCACTTTCTAAGTCAAATTGACCACTTTTAACCATTAGAAATAGTTTCACTTAAGCAAAAACCTTTGTGCAATAACATTACACAAATTTGACTACATAGCTACTCATAAACGCATGTATTCCCTATTGATTAGTATAAGTTTTGTACACAAAAAAAGTCAAAAACTTTTTTCTATGATAGGTTATATGAAGTTAATTCTGGCTGAGCTTTAATTAAAATTTTATTTAATCGTTAAAACACAAATTTTTTAAACTATTTTAGGCCAAATATCAATAGAAATGATTGACTAGGATCATAAAAGATCATAAAAATGAAAAATTGGTTAGATATCAGATTCAATTTTTTCATGTGATTTTTGATTAATCAATTCAGAATCAATTTTCGATTAATTCAACTATTGCAGAATCAATTCCAATCCTTAGTTTAGCTCTTAATGTAAAAAAAAAACAATAAAATATATCAGAAAAATACACAAGTAAAGAAACTAAAAGTTAGAAAAAATTATAAAGAGAAAATTTATTATTTTTACTAATGAGCTTAATAAATACATGCTATAAGCAAGTTGTAAGACATTTACTTGGATTTTATATATAAAGTTGGTAAATAGTGTCTAACTATTTATTTCATAAAAAGATATTAAAAGTTCAACAGATCCAGATATATTGTTTGAAAAAGATCTGTCAATAAATATATTGTTTGATATTTTATAGAAAGGAGTGAATATGCTACTAATGTTTATGTTATTTGTTATTGCGTAAAACTTTTAAAATAAACCAACTGGAGATAATGATAATTAAAATGTGATTAGTGTTTCTCATGAGTTAAGTTAAGTCAAGTTTTGAATCAATTTTTTATATGATAAAATTTGTCCTATACTAATTTTTATAATACTTTAACTATATTATTTAATATTTATGTTATACGAGTCTATGCAAGTCATTTTGAGTCACATATGCAGAATACTAAATGTAATATCTTTATATCTGATATTTATATCATTTTCACTTGATTTTTATCTAGAGGAAGTATTAACAAGTTTTATTAATCAATTAATTAAAAAAAAGTTACCTCAGTGTTGACATTTGGCCGCGACTAATAATTTTTTTGGCCGATTTGGCCGGCCAAAATGGCAAAATGGCTAATGGCCAATTCCGGCCAAATTTTGGCCAAATAACAAAATACTAATACTTTATTAAGGCTGTATTGGCATTTGGCTGCGGCCAAATGGCCAATTCTGGTTAAACGGCTAAGTGCCAACACTGAGTTACCTAATAAATTATCATTACTCTTGTATAAAAGTTCATTAACCAAATTTAGAAAAATAACATTCTTCTATTATCTTTTTTAACCATGCTTAGCAAATCTTTCATTAACTAATTCTGGAACTGAAGAAAGAAAAGAAGTATGAATAATATAATTACAAGTCTTCAATTATTAATTAAAGCAAATATTTATATAAAAGGTTATTATCACTAATATTCAATATTTCAAGTTCCTTCTACTTTTTTTTTTGACTACATTTAGCAAAAGTTTTAGTAATTAGTATTTAGATTTCAGTATTTAGAACTAAATAAAAAAATATAAATAAAATAATTATAATTTTATTAATTAAAGTAAAGATATTTAAAAGAAAATTATCAAAAAGTTTATTATTTAATCTTCTGTTTTTTTTTTAGTTATATTTAATGTAGGAATTAGAATCAAAAATCCAATCTGACTTTGAATCAGTTCCTAATTTCAGCAAAAATAATCAGCACTTGGTCAGCATGAAAAATTACTTTGAAGTTAAGTTAACTTATATGTAAAAAATTGCTGAGAATTAATCCTTGAAAATCAATTTTACTATGTTTTGTCAATTTTCGATTAATTGATTCCAATCCCTAGTTTAATAGTAGCTTTAACTATAAGAAGAATGATTTGTAAAAAAAATAACAGTTTTAAAAACTAATTCCAAATTATATTTTATAATAAAATATTATAATTTATATATATAAAAAAAAAACTTTATTAATTACTAATTCAATTTTTATTTTATTAAATTCAATTTATTTACTTTATTTTAATAATTCTTATTTAATAAATTATTATTTCAAATTTTCTAAATAAAGGATAAATAGTATTTTTATTTTAATAAATTTGACATTTAAGAAGTATGCCAGAAATCAGCTGATTTGAAAGAGGATGGGGGAATTAAGTTTCAAATTGGTCTCTATATATATCATGTAATATTTATATATCTAAAATAAATATAAGTAATTTAATTATTTACAATTTCTTGGTTAATAATTCAATTTTTAAATAACTTTTTTCTATTCTAGTAATTTAATTTTAATGAATTTTTTAAATTTATAGCTCTCATTTAGTTCTACAAATTTAGCTCTACATTGGAACTCAAGTTTGTTTTTCTAATACTTTATCAAGATATATCTTTTGATTAAGATTTATTGTAAATTGTATTTTATACTTCATTTTACTATTAGTTAAATTAATGATATTGTTAAAAAAATTAAAATCCATAAAGATCTTTTCCAATGAATAATCTTTGAATTTAAATTTATTAAGAATTTGAATTAGAGTTTTTCAAAATAACACTTCATCTGGTTGTAATGATTTTATCTAAAAAATTGGGTAATAATAAGACTCTGCTTATTCCCAATAAAGGTTTTTGAAAAAAATTTCAAATTTACTAGTAATTTTACCTTACTCCAATTCTTAATATTATTGGTTAATTAATTTAAAGAGAAAAAAATCATAATAATGCAGTGTAACATTTTCTTTTTTAGATATAATTTATCTATTTATAGTAGGATCATCAAAATTTTTTCTTAGTGATTTTATCTTAGAGTTACAGTGATTTTTATTATAAGTAAACGGGATCTTGTAATAATAAGTATACTTTTTATATATAAAATAATATATAAAATAGGAGGTATAATACTTCAAGCAAGTTGTTAAACAATTTTTTTTGAGAAAAATCTTCTCAGCTGAATCAGAAAGGATTTGAACATATCTTGCTCATTTATCTTTATGATTATTTGTTTTTTTGCCATAACTTTTTTTTTGTAATTAGATTCTAATATGCACTTTGATATCTTTGTCATTTCATTACTAAATTCCATAAAACTATTAGAAACATACTGATGAATTTTTGCTACTACTACTATATTATTTTATAGTTGAGAAATCTGTAATATATATATATATCAAAATTGTTTAGTAAAGATAACATATTATAATTATGTTTCATAAAAAAACTGGATAATTTAATACATTCTATCTCAGTAAACTCAATAGCTTTTTCATTTTCTATTGATTTTAATTTTTACTTTATTTGATATTGAATTTTAAGCTGTTTGAAAAATCCTATTATTTTTTGTAAAAATTTCTATTCCTACTATATGAAATATAAAAGAAATAACCGATAAATGATAATATATAAATAAAAATTAAACTTTTATTACTTTAAAGAGCATAAAGGATCATAATGAACAAATAGTCTAACACATAATAACGAACAGTTTCAGGTATTTCATAGGAGACTAGAGAGAAGAACAGATGAATAGTTGATTATCCAGTTAATAAACAGTCCTTTAAATCAGTTTATATTTCCATTACTTCTTTAGATTTATAGTAACATAAATAATGAACAGTTACTTCATAATGCATACAATTCTATCAACATATTATAGCTATTTATATATAATACATAATTTAAAATTTTTCGTAAAGATCTTTTACCTTTTGTCATGTATCTTTTTTAATTAAATTGTTATTAATAATTCTCTCAAGTCATTTTCTTTATGTGATTAAGAATCTTTACTTTGTTACCTTTAAGCTTCTCATACAAATCACATTAAAAAATAAAATCATTGAAATCTTACAGCTATAGTAAAGTAATTTGTAAATAGTCATTCAAAGTATGCAGATTTTTGGCCATTTAATGTAAGTTTCAGTATCAAGTTATTTCTTCGCCTTCTCATATTTCTAATAAATTTCTAAAATTAATTTATTTCTATCACTAATATTACTAATAACTATAAGACTTTCATTTCATATTTTTTCTCTATCTAAAATAAATTTTCCCACTCATATCTATATGCAATTATTTAAACAATGAAAATTTATTTTAGGAGTTTAACCTTTTTGTTTAAGGCAATAAACTTACCATAAAAATATTTCCTTTATTTTACTAAAAAAATCTCTTATAAAGCCTTTTCATTTATTTTCATAATTAACTGAATTAACTGGATGAGACAGATTTATATTTATGATAATGAGATGTTTAAAACTGATGTGTAATAAGCCAAAGATTTAGGAATTTATATGATAATGGATTATAATTCTTTAAATAGAACATATATAGGATTTGCAAAATGATCACAATGTAAGGGGATGGCCAGAAATGATGTCATTTCCTAAGAGAAGGAGTTAACCATGATGATTTCCATTTTTGGACACTTGTGGTTAATATAATTCTAGCCAGAATTATGTTTTAATTTTAAATTTCCTAAAATGAATGATGACATAGGGATGGGGTAAAATTTAAATTACGTCATTTCTGGCCATCCCCATTAACGATGCTCAAAATGTGATTTTATGACAAAACGGGTATTTCAAATAAGTATATACATGTATACATGTAAATACTCGTTTCATTTTTTTTAAAAAAAAAAAAAAAATTTTTTTTTTAGAAATGCATCCATTAACGAAGAAGGACTTAAATTTATTTTATATTTTAATAACAGTTCTTTCCGCGTATGTAATAAATTTCGCGATAACAAATCCAACTATATTAACAAAAGAATTTCCACCAAAATTGCCAACAACAGTATTCGTATCACTTCAATTTATTACAAAATTACTTTTCATAATTTTTTCACTTGAACCTATTGCAACAAGGAAAAGATGTTATACTTTAATAATTTTACTATTATTACATTTAATAATTCCATTAAGTTATCGATTAAAGTATCATCCAGCAGTTATGGATGTTATGATAATTTTCACAGGAATTTATTCATTTAAAATGAGTTTGTTTATAAAGTATAATAGAAAATATTTACCTGATACTAAAATTAATCAACAAAAAGAATTTACTCCGTATATTTTAACACTTAATAGTTGGCGTCATGATTCCGATATAGAATCAAAGGCCGAGATAAAAAAGCCGACTATAAAACAAGTTAATGAAAAAATCAAGTCACATGTTTTGATGTTAATGTTGAAGGTGACGATTTATGAATTAGTTATATATTTATTTGCTAATTATCCACAAAAAATTCCCGAAAGACCTTATCAAATTCGTATGATTGAATATTTTACGAAAGGGATTCCTATTTTTACTGCGGCTTCAATGTTTCATTATACTTGTTTTTTTATTTTTATTTACTTATTCCTATCACTACATTATGATCTTACCGTACTTTATAGTTTAATAGCTTTACGATGCATGACTACAAGTCAATCGAGTACCCCAGAAAAACATATTCTTGTCAAATCAGGTTTATTAACACCTATACAATTTTCTTTGTTAAAAAATTACTTCATTACTTATACATTTAACACGAAACATTGTTTTAATAATCCCTGGATATCAAAAAATCCGAGAGAAGTTTGGTCATCACGTTGGCAAACTATGTTAGCTGAAACATTTAGAGAACTTGGTTATCTCCCTTTAAGAAATCTATGTATTAGCTTAGGAATTACTTCAAGAAAGTTTTGCAATGCTATGGGGGTATTAGGAGCCTTTTTTATTAGTTCTCTTTTACATGAATATTATATTATAGGAATGTTTAATATGATTACCGGTGAACATTTGTTTTTTTTTATGTCGCATGGTTTAATAATGATTGTTTGGGAACTAGTTTTTACTTCTGAAAGAGAAGATAAGATGAAAAAACCAGAGAAAGAGGGTTATGATTTTAGAAAACACGCAGCTGTGTTTTTGAAATGGTTATTAATGTTAGCTATTTATATGTTGATTTTACCTGCTTTTACTGAACCCTTGATGAGAAGAATCGATCTTTGGATAATTCCTTCATTATTCACTGATGTTGGAAATATTTACAAGAATTTGGTTTAGAAATTTCAATTATCTTTTATAATTTATCGGTTTATAATGAAACTTACTTTTTATTTTAATTACTTTTTCCATTTGTGAATCACTTTATAAATTTCTTTTGTATAAACTTATTTTTTATCTAAATTTTTTCATGCTAGCGAGAAAAATCACGTGAACCAATAGAAGCTACTAATACGTATAGAATAAGACCTTATGCAAAGTTCAAATCAAGTTATTGATGATGACATCATGTCCCATTGTCGGGTGGGTAAATCAACCTGGCACACAATATGATTATCAGTTTATCAGTCTATTCACGATGTATTTTTAAAATCAAATTTACTCAAAAGTGAAGGAAGTTATTTTTTTCCATGTAAAAATCAAATACAATGAATCAACTAGATTGCTGTTGCATTGTATTTTTTATTTCACTCCTTATAATAAATTACATTTAGCTTTTATTATCTGTTATTCTTTAATTACTCTTTAAAATATCAATTGGAAATTAATGGTAGTAATTATAAATTGATTATAACAAGGAATTAAAAGATTTACAGATTGAAATGGAAAGGCTAACCTAGGTAATTATAATCTGAAGAGTTTATACATTAGAGTTAAAAACTAAGTAAACAAAATCTTTTGCAAACAACAGGGATACTTTTTCAACTCTATGTAAACCCAAATTTAAAATTTCAAATTTTACACTTCTACAATCTTCTTATATAAATCAAGTAAGTCAACCAAATATAAGATTTCAAGGAATTTAACTTCAAAGAAAAAAAATGTATTGATTATTTATTAATTAGAAAAAGGTATAAATAAGAAAAATAAAAGATTTACAAATTGAAATAAAAAGGCAATATATGAATGCAAAATATAATTTAACTTCATTAGTATTTTAAATCTATTTTTAAAATAAAATAACTACCATTCAATTTATTATTAAGATAAATCTAATGACAATATATGGATTAGGACTTGGTAAACTTAACAAGTAGATGTGTTCTTTCATGTCTTTATTTCCTTAAAACAGCTTACTATTCTATTATTTTTTACTTTCATTTTTTCTTAGCCAACTGACCCTTTCTTATATATTACATCAGGAAATTTTATAGCATGAAAAATTGCGTAAGTTTACAATTTTGTAAGTTTACGAAAGTTTATGGCATAATATTTTGAAAAATTTCAAAATATTACATAAGTTTACAATTTCGTAAGATTTATGTGATATTACAGTTAAAATATTACATAAGTTTTTAATATCATAAGATTTATGCAATATTACGGTCAAAATATTCTGCAAATTTATGAAACTGTAAATCTGCGTAATATTATGGTTGAAATATTTAGTACTTTATGAAAAAATATAATAAGATTTTACTTCAAATTTTTTAAATATATATATATGTATACATTTTCAAATATGAATTTTGTATTCGCTTATCAATGAAAAATAATTTGCCTATATTTGGCTTATAATAAAAAAAATTAAGCATTAAACTTCTTGTTGGGACTTATATTAAATACTAGAATTTGTATACTCCTTCCATCTTTAATAACATCATATATTTTATTTCCTACTTTTACTTGCATGTCTGAAATTTGTGCTAGTTAGTGTCGATCATGATGACAAATAATGGTGACAAATAAATTTTTGGCACAAAAAAAATTCTAAGTTCCTTAGATATTTAGTGTTTTTGAACTCGTGGCTGCACGTGATCAGGTGATGCGTAAACATCACTCCTTCCTATTATAGAAGTGATCGACACTAACCTGACACAGATTTCAGACTAGCCTTTTACTTTTTACTGAATAATTATATGCCAATTGTACTATATCATTGACAAATAACAATATTATCTCAGGTATGACAAGAATTATAACTCAAAAAGTTAGCATGCAATTATGTGCAAATTAATAAAATTCAACAAGTATATAGTTTGATCATAAAAAAAAATAAATTTAATTTTACAGTATAAAAATGTCTTATCTAAAAATTCATAATTATTTAAGCAAAAAATGTATTGTTAAATAAAAGCAAAAGAAACTATTTCAATTGAAAATTGGACTGTACTTAAAAAATCTTGAACTATTAATAATAATAAATAAGGGAAAAAACAGGAAAAAGCAAAACAACTTCTAGATAGTTATAGAAAAGTAAGTAGAAATCTTTTTATATTGAATATAAATAGAGTAAGTGATGTGATAGGAAATTTTCAGATTTCTTTGTTATTCAAATCTTTAGGTTAAATTACAAAACCAGTATTAAGATACAAATGATTTCTAGATTTGTTTAATATTTCAAGTCTTTAGATTAAGTTAATACAGTTTATTTTTAGATTTAGCTGATATTTAAATGGAATGGAAAATTAGATTTAGTTTAGATTTATTAGTTAGAATATTACTAATTTCTTATAGATCTAATAATAAAATGGCAAAAAATAAAAAAAAGAATGCTTTTATATATTCCATTTCTATCAGCTGATATTTGTAGATAAATGATTAATAAGGTAGTAAATAGTGAAATAATCAGAATAATTAAAATATAAATGGATTTATTATTGGATTATTTAAATCATTTAAATCAAAAATAGATTAGAAAAAAGTATAGATATATTTTATTAACTAATAAGAATCAGCAGAAATAACTAATATTTTAACTGTAATTTTATTTTATTATTATCTCTTATATTTAAATAATAAGATTAACAACTTTTTTTAAAGTTCTTCAAAATAAAAATTAACAAATTCGATTAAGAAATAGCAGAGATCAAAAGTTATAAGCAATAAATAAAGCATTCTTAATAATAAAAAGGATAAGATATAGTTTTCATATTGAAGTAAATTCTTTAGTTATTATAATATTATTTCTGAATAATTAATTGGTAAGGTTCTTTTTTAGGCTAAATTTAAAGAATAAGAATTTATTTCTACATTTGAAAAAAAAATTTGGATTATTTTATATTAGTTGAGAATGAAAATTCTGATTATATACTAAAGTATTTTAATAGTTTTTTTGATTAAAATTTTTTTGTTAGGTTTACAACTTATATTTTATTTAATATAAATAATGCTAAAGATTAAAATTCTTTATTATTGTTATTATTATTACAAAAATATAAATATGGTATAAAAGTAATTTCTTTCAAATAAAAAATATAACAAACATAATTTATGAATATTGTAAGTAATTATTAATTGAAACTTATCTTTATTAATTTTTATTTAATATAAATGAATGGAATGAAATTCACTATATGGGCGGACTTATAGCAAAAGGTGGGGCTCAGACAATCACGTGATTTCAAAAAAAATCGAACTTTAATATTATTGGTTAATTTAATAAATTATAATTTATTCCATCATTTTTAAAGATTTTTAAAATCAATTTTTTGCAAACTAGGGTAAATTTTTGCAAGGAATTCATTAAAAGCATTAGTTTTTTTCTAAAGCATCTATATTATTTGTTAAATGCAATAAAAGTTGTAATTAGTTTTTTTTTAATTTTTCCAAAAACTTAATGATATTTCTAGTTTTAGGTTAAAATAATAAGTGAACTAAGATAGATTTTAAACAACATCCTTTCTAAATAATAATGAATTTTACAATTATAAAAAGTGTTATAATGTAAAGTTAAAAGTGAATTGAATATATATGCTGTTTAAATTATTTTAGGATATTATAATTATAATTTAAAATGCTATAATTCATTTAATTATATATATATAATTTACTATATAAAATGTCAAAATAATTTGGAATACCATAATTGAATTTGAAATTTTACTAGTGTTCCTTACAAGTCAAGTTGAAACAAATTTCAAATCAATTTTTTATATGATATAATTTGTTCTACACTAATTTTTATAATACTTTATTAAACTATATTATTTATGTAATGCAAGTCTATGCAAGTCATTTCAAGTCGCATATACAGGACATTAGATTTTACTTATAATTATGACAGCCTAAAATAATTTGAATAACATATATAGAGTTAAACTTATAATGAGAAAATTATAAGTATTTACTTTTTATTAGAAACAAAGCTTTAATTAAAAGTCTTATAAATATAAAAATTCTAATAAATTATTACAAAAATAATATCTCAAATCCTAATATGATACAAATATGTGATCTTTAATCATTGATTACTATCTCTAAAATGTAATAAAAATGGAAATTATTAGATATGTATATGCTTTTTATGATATGTTATGATTATTGGATTTTAATTTACTACTTTTTAACAAAAAGGAATTATTAAGTGAAACTGTATCTAAAAGAAAAAGTCAGAAAAAAATATATATATGTTACAAGAAAGTGGTTGTAAAAAGATGAAATATAGAATAAACAGGATATTTCAAATATATGTTAATAATATAAAGTACGGATTATGGAACAGTTTAAATAGTTAAAAAATTTGAAAAAATCAAATTACTTTGTAAATTAGAAAAAGCTATATATGATATACTTATATATTTGAATAAAGAAATCTATTTTAAAGAACAAGAGTAAAAAAACTACAAGTTGTCAATATATTTCATTTGGATAAGCAAAATAAAATATTTTATAATTTTTACTATAAGTAAATTGAATTAATTTGTATTATAAGTCTCAAATTGTAAGTTTTATATTTGAGTAATTTCAAATGTTATATATTAATATTAAAAAAAGAAAAGCTTTTGAAATACCAACTATTATCAAAAAAATAAGAGATTTTATTAGGATTTTAACTAATATATAGATGTTGAAGATATGTATTATTTTAATGTATTTTTTTATTAATAATATACAATATTTGTCTTTTTATTACTTTTATATTAATAGTAAATAGTAAATGAAGATAAAGTAAATAGTATAGTAGAAAATTTCAAGTTTTTTTATTATTTAAGTTTTTAAATCAAATTACAAAACTAGTAAAATTCAAGTAATTTTTAGGTTTGTCTAATATTTTAAGTTTATTTTAAATCAAGCTAATGCTAGATTTATTTAAGCATAATTTATCTTTAAGTTTAGCTGATATTTAAATAGAATGAAAAATCAGATTT